GGTAGAAAGAACATTTATTGGCTTCATGGTGGGGCTTCTTGGATCCTTGCAAAGCAGAATGTAGGGCAAAATGTAATATACAGTCTAATCAGCATTCTCACTAGGTTACTTAAATTCAGGAAGATGTCTGAAATTACATCCAATCTGGCATGTATTTGCACTACTCCCTTCCATCCCTATTGACTCCCCAACATGATGCTTCTTCCAAGTGACCATTCATGCTCTGAGCAGAAGTGGCCTGACTGCTAATGTAAACAAACTCCCCTGGAAAAAGCTTGTCAAAACCAATGGGGGAGTACATAACTTTAGCCATAGATTCCAAGGCAGGCAGTAATAGCAACCGCTTTGTGTTTTCCTTGGTCTGGCTTCTCCTTCTGCATTAAATGCAAACAGTCAATGTATGCTATATAAAAAAACTGAACGGTTCTTCGTTCAAATAAAGCTAGTTCGTTCTGTGGCTCATTAGTAGCAGTATAACTATCAAGCAATCCGGTTGGCCTATAACTATTTGCAATTAACTAGAACTAATTCAAAAGTGTTAACAAATCAGGAAGACCTGCCCTGGTGAGTAAATATTGCATGTACAGTAAAGGACATAGAATGCTTGAATGCCACAAAAGATGGAAGAAGGGGTGTTCTTTCAGCCAAGGGAGAAACTATGGGCAACCTCTGATAGCATTTGTAAGCTCTTTATAAGTATTCAGCTCAAACCTTTGTTCTTGAGAGAGAAGAAAAAACAAACAAAGGTGCCAGAGTGAGAGAATATGTGGAGAGGAGGCACCCATTTTGGCTCTACTCTTATCTGGAATTTGCTTCCGCCCTGCCTAGATACAGTCTCCAACCAAAGGGGAAAAAAAATAATTGCCAAGTTCTGCTTTAGGAACTGGGCTCTAATATTGTTGGTAATTTCTTAGTGTATTGCTGGTCTATGACCATACTAAATTGATGATGATTTCTTAGGCTAATTTTTAAATGCATACTCTAGATCCTATATGCAGGTCTGTGGCTTGGCCATCATTTTGTTAGCAGTTATTTCCAGTATGACTGCAGCATAAACAAATGGGTTACTAAATCAAATGGCAGCATGTCTGAAGAAATCAAGATTATGGAATAAGAGTTTATTAGAGCCAAAGAACCATAACTTCAAGAAACAATTGCTAAATTGGGATAATAAAATGTCCCAACTTTAGTGATTGTCCAAAATTCGATGTAACAGTTCCAGAAATTTATTTTAAAGGCCTTTTGTTTTATCATGGAGTCTCTAATTCAAATGGTTTTTTAAAGAAGAAACAGTACATCCTTTGTGCTAATTTTATGACCTAATATTTTATCCATTCAACATAGTTTCAGCCTTCCAAAATGCCACTCTCAACCTGCCAAAATCAACATCTCTACATTATGTACAGTATGATTTGATAAACCTTTTAACTTTTCCAGATGGTTATCTTGGCAGGACTTGTTTTGACAAAATGTGCTATCCAGTGCCATGCTGCAATAACGATTAGTTATGTACAACATTAAGTGGTTAATTCCTGAAATATACTAATCTTCACCAGAATCTTGCTTCTACCCACCCCCCAAGGATAAGCTGAACCAAGCCATTCAGGATGGCTCATCCCATTTCAGAAATAAATGCAGATGTGAGGAGGTGGGCGGGAGGACAGATAGCACCCAATTTATCTAAAAAACACAGCTGCCTTATTATGGAGAAAGCCATAATGCTGACAAAGATTGAAGGAAAGGAGGGCAACAAGCAGCAAGATGGATGAGCTCAAAATGCATTGACAATAGGTGCCCCATCAGAAAATCTGAAGGCGAGCCAGGTCATCCTGGAGAGATCTATCTATGTGGTTGCTAAAAGGTGACACTAACTTGATGGCACGTCATCAATAGATGTGTTAGCAACTATGCCAGTGCCTTGGATTGTCTTGTGCTTGAGACTAGAAGATAAAAAGTTGCAATACTTTCCATGTGACACTGTTTGCAATTTCTTGAAAGAAAACCTGTTCTCCCCCACCCACCCACCCACCCCCATGTACACAGGGGAAAAGGTACAGCCACTCTAAGAAGTTGTAACCTGGGGTTAAATATCTTTAAATCTGAAGCAATGAAGGGTCTGAATATTTATCACCTCACATCAGATGCTTCTCTAACAGTTGCACCATGAGAGGCTGTGTACTACAAGAAAGCAAAACATCAAGGCTCAGTACTGCTTCTCTGAAGGTGAACTTTTTCTAAAAGATGGGTTGCCTCAATGCACTCAAGGCACACTTTGTTGTTGGCAACCCAGTATTCTTTCACAAAAGACAAACTGAAGAAGTGACTTTACTCAGGTTGCCTCTAGAGAAGAGCAAGGGTTCAGGATAAGGAGCATGAAGAAATTTATTTTCAAGCATATGGGGAAAACCCCCAGAGGCTTAAGAGTTAAGGAAACAATATACAGAAGAAGAGTCCCCTAAAGTGGTGCTTCATTTTAGGAAGCAAGCACATGTTTTTCAGCCACAGCTGAATCATTTTTTGCTCCTTTCATTGCAATGTGTGTTTTTGGCCACAAGCTGGGAGAGAAGACAAAAACTAAGCTCTTGGAACTCAAAAGTAATTAAAGTTTATCTTCCAAACGAGCAATAGAGATCTTTTTAGGGGAAGGAGTGGGAGTGGAGTTTCAATGTCCGAGAGGCTAAAGAAGAGAACACATATCTGCTTCTTTCCAGGGATATATATGCAAGGACCAATATATACCAGTATTTGGGATATTTTGAAGCAATGTAAGTATGGATAAACATTTGTGGAAAGCTGTATCTATCTATTGGGGTCCTCTCTCCCTTTGTTCTGCTATCTAATTGTGTAGAAGAGGAAGCCATTCCAGCTTTGTGGTGCTCTCCCTCCCTTCCTGCCTTTCTTCCCTCCCTTCTCCACCATGGAATCTATAAATCACTTCTGGCAGGTAGCTGGGAAGCAGCCGCTAATGATAGTTTTGCTCTGGAGGAAAGGAAGTCACCTTTTAACCCTGCCTGCTGTTGTTTGTCTTACAATAAGACTGGAGAACAGATAAAAACAACATGCCAACTGTCACAGAAGATCTGATCACAACTGCAGCAGGAAACCCTATGCCAGACCCACAACACGTTCAGACTGAGGATGTCTGTCCCTCAGTCCAAGTATTTGGATGGGATGCCTTTTACCCTTCACTCATTCAAATGCTCCCTATGCTCAATCAGGGAAGAATCAGCCACTTTTCTGAATGGAAAAAATCAAGAATATTGCGTGCCTGTTTCAGTCCACTAGAGATGCTCCCATCAACACTTTGACTTATGAAAAATCAAGGGAGGGGAGAGAGAGGGAAATAGAGAAGCATCATGCAGTTTAAGTCACGAGAGCTAAGGCTTAAGAACAGACCAAATTCCAGAGAAAAAACTGTGTCAAAAGTACAACACAGTACAAATTAGTTTAACAGGAAATGGTGAGATGCTGATAGCCTGAACAGCTTTGTGAGTAGGTCTAGGCCAATATATGAATTGTTCCTTCAATGATAAATAGGTTATAAACATAATAAAAAGGTAAGCGTGTCTGAATTTCTTAAAAGCTACTCTCAATAATTTCCGGTAAATAAATCATATGAAGTACTGAAACAGAATCTATTCAAATAATCACTGAGGGTCTATCTAGCCAGTTTACTTTTGAGTTTGTGAAACTTGAGAAGGTGGACAAAATCCCTGGAATGATAAGGTCTACCATGCCTGTCATGACTTATTAAATCTTCTAGGACAAAGCTGAGCGATTGGGTCAAGGAGATGATAAACACTTTCCTGAAAGACAGCAAGGTCCTGATTCATTTTGAAGATGTAGCAGTAGACCTTCTAAAAACACCAGCCTTTTGCTAAAGCATACTTTAGAAAAACAAAAACAAAAAACAGATGTGGGGAATAAGCTCTGAGCATATGTTTCAGAGTGTCATGGTTTGATTGAAATAGATTGTTTAGATCTGCTCTAGCAGAACTTCTGGAAGAAATCATTTGGAGATTACAGTTGGAACGCCATTAATATGCCCTTCTCTTCCTTCTTTTTCTTACCTGATCACAGGGAAGAAGTGGAATTTCTAAACTAGTACCACAAAACTTTCTGAAATGGGTAAAAGAACCTAAGCATTAAGTAAGATCCTAGATTTTTCTATTTACTTACTAAGGTTGGAGAGATAGTTGGTCTTAGAGGATTCATTAACCTATATGAGATGCAGCTGCATTCCCACTTGAAGCAAAAAAAAAAGAGTGAATCAATAAGAGCTATTCCTACAGGGGTGCCTGTGGTACAGCAGCATTTATCAATCTCCATCCAATTTGTTAACTGTTCCCTTTTCCTAGGAAAATTAACTGTGAGAATTCAATTTTAGAATTGCTGCTCAGGATAAATTTATCAACTGAATGGCATTTTTAAAGCCAGTAGACTATATTGACAACTTCCATTTTGTTATCTTTACTTCTTCTTCTTTTTTTATTGATAGAATTATGCCATAACATTTATTTGGTAATTTGCCTTATATTTTTGTTATAGAAAAGCAAAAAAAAAAAATGTTCAAAATAAACACATCAATAATGAATATTCTCACATGTAAATTTGCATGTAACCAGAACCACTTAGCCAAAGTTGGCTGATCTCAAAATAGCTAAGCAGGGTTGAGCCTGATAAGTACTTGGATGGGACACCACCAGGATATCTATGCCTGGGAAATCAAAGCAATATTATTGTTTTGGTATTTGGTAAATGGTATTCTAGAAGAATACCAACCTAATCATTTGAATATTCTTGCCAAGAAAGCAACATGGAGATGATCTTCGTGTTGTCACCAAGAGCTCCGTTTGCTTAAGGGAGACTTTATTTTCACTTTTACAACCTCCTCCTCTTTGTGCGAATGGCAATCAGTCCCCTCATAAACTCTACTTTCTCATGAAAGACAAAAACCATTCAGAGGCCACAAACATGAATTCGATATGGAAGATACGTACAGTGAAGACATCGTCATCTCCAACTTCAGTTTCATTGTGGATCGTAGAAGATGATGTTGTAGAACCTGCAAAGACATTTTAAAAAGTGTTCCTTTAGATAAAAAATTATATTCCAGACCATCCTATTTATAAAAATTTAGTGGAGGGGCAATATTTGTTTTGGGCATCCCTCTCATAAGCCACCTGCTAAGCCCACATTTCCAAAATCAAACAAGCCAGAGTGTTGTGCTGGAATGAAGTAGAGCGGTCTCATGCTTAAAAACCAGGTCAATATTCTTTAGGACAAAGCCATTTTTTCACATTTTCACAAAAGCAATTCTATGTGGTATATTTTTTTTGGTGAATTCCTGATCAAGTGTTTTAGAATGGTACAAAAAAATTAGATGAATTAGAACTTGGACTTCCTCTTGCCACTCTCCAACTATGTAAAGCCCAAGGTACAAATTAGTTGACAAAATAATAATAAATAATTACAATTTAACATCAATCTTAAAAAGTCTATTCAAGATAACAGCAAATATGGAAAACAAATGAGAAATGAGAAATATATGACACTTGCTCACTCTGGATTAACTTTACAGTTCCTTCTAACATAATAGTTCCTACATAGTACAGAGGACTGGCTGAATGATGGGATCACATTCTCTGAAAGCCAATACAGAAAGTTAAGACTCTGATTTAAGTAATGTAGCAGGGCTTCTGTGAAAAGACATGCAACATTCTGTCTTCAAAGTTAGCACCAAAAACAAAATTAAAAAAAATGGGAAGGGGGAGTGGAGAATAGAGAAGACAGCCATTTTGCTACACACATTAAGGTGGTAGGATATTGTATAGTACCTTCTGTGAGATCTTCAATGGCTTTTCTCACCCCTCTGTCAAATGCTCGCGCATCAGCAGGGCTTAGAAAAGTGAGTCCAAATTTTCGGTTGTCAACTTTCCAGTGGTGAAATGTAGGATTTGCCTTAGTGTAGATCAAGTCTTTTTTCACATAGCATTCCAGCACCACCTGGGGTGAAAATGCAGAGATGTGCAATGATGATATTTACAGGCAAAGAACACAAGTTTATTAGTGTAATTTACTACTTCCTCTTGCACACATTAAAAAAATAAATCTGCTTGCTTTGCAGTTGTTTGGTATGACTCTCCTTTCAACACAAGAAATCAGGAAAATTAAATGAGACGACAACATGCTTGAAACATTTCCTGCTTGGCTGATACAGGAACACAAATCTTTACATTACACACCATATTTCATATCTCTGCAAAGCCAAGTTTAACTTCTTTAGGAACTTATTCTTCACATGTGCGTGTACATAAATATTGTACCATTTCAGCATTCACCAGCATTCGACTTTACCCCTTTTCATGCAAAATGAAATCCAATCTATACTGCTATATAGTTGGTACCATGGAGTCATTGCTGCTCTTCATTACCCATTTTATAATGAAAACTGCTTAAACTCACAACACATGGCCGGACTCAACCACAGTTTCAACTGGGAAATTATTTTAGACCAAGCCAAATCCCAAAATGCTAGGGAATTCCTGGAAGCCTGGCACTTAGACACGTAGACACGTAGAGATAAATCACATTTACGTATAGTTCAAAAGAGACAATAAAAAAGCTAAAAAAGAAACAAAAAACTAGAACACATCTTCTCCAGCAGTTTATACCCAGATAAGCAGGGATTAACACAAGACAAACAATCAAGCAGAAAACAATACCCTAATCAAGGAACTACCAAGGAGAAAACGATATTCCCACTAACACTGGCAGTGCAACCTACTGTATATAAACAGAGAGCAAGCCCCACACTCACTAGGACTGATGATGTATCTGCAAGCAAACAACTAAGCTCAGAGAATACCAAGGATTCCACAGTTCAACCCTGAGTTACAAATATTCTTTTCTTTTGGGCAATTAGTACCACATTGACCACTCACATCTCATAACCAACCATGTAATCATTATTCTTTTTCTCTTCCTCTGTTATAGCTTTGTCTAATTTAGTATCCTCTGGACATATTGGACTACAGCTATCATAATACACTGGTAGAAGGCCAACGGGCATGCTAATTAGAAGATACTAGAGTTTAATTTATTATAGTGCTTTGACCCTAAGAGCATCTCCAAACCAGTATCACTGAATCAGTAAAGCCCAGCTCATTCAAAAACATCTGTATCACCAAACCATAATAACTGATTCATCATCTCATTCTGTATTTATTTTAACAGTACCTTCATTTATCAGTGGTTTATCCACTCCCTGTAGAACAGCCACATTTTTAACAGTTTCCACAATGTTATGATTTTTGGGGTTGTGGGAACTACCCACCAACAATTTTGCTATTTTCCCTATTCAACATGAAACAGCTAACAGCTAAGTATTGTGTTTCTGGTTAAAACTTGGATAGTGAGACCTGAATTATAACTGGTACTGAACATAATAACCCTGTAAGTTACTTTAAGTTATTCATTTATGATTGAGTTGTAAATTAAGTTATTCATTATAAGGGTTTAAAGGTTTCCTCTATCCAGCCAAGGGAGCATGCTTTGCCTGAGAGATGTTTCCATCATCATGTGGCCAGCATGAAAATATGAAACACAGTGACCTTTCCCACCAAAGCGGTACCTATTTACCAGCTTGCATTTGCATGCTTCTGAACTGTTAGGTTGGCAGAAGCTGGAGCTAGTAGTGGGAGCTCACCCCATCATGCAGCACTTGGGTCTTGAACCTGGGCTGTCAGCTTTTCAACTGACAAGTTCAGGGTTTTAATCGCTGAGCCATCACTTCTTATTCATTATGATTGCACCAATCATAATGGGCAAATGCAATTCAGAACTCCCTGGAGAAATGGTAAGCAACTTGGTTAATATGCACCCTTCTTTCTGTTGACAGGATGTGCATATATATACTCACACATGTTGCAAAAAGTCCTGCCCAAACTTTCAGTGACAAACCTGAGGAATTTGGGGTGCAGAGTAAAGGCAAAAGCATGCTTAAAGTCACCTAGAACCTCAAGCAGGCCCCACATCTAATGGGACCACTTCATTTTTGAGAGGCCATCCAGAAAGCTAGCTTGATTTGAGGAAACAAACTTCTTTAAAAGAATGGGAAGAGGCAGAAAGATTTAATGAGGAGGGTAAAGCGCAAAGCAATCCAAGTAGGAGTGAAAATATTCAGTAGCCACAGAAAATGAAAACGAAGGGATGGAATGATTTTCTTCATAAATGTGATTGTCTGCTAAACAGCATTAACTTACCTTATTTAAAATATCTAAAATACATAAACTGCTTCTAGTTCATACTCTCCTTTTACCAACAGTAATTCAACCCACAACTAATTTGTTTTGTTCTTTGTCAATTCTTTTTGCCTAAGAAATACTGTTTCCCCTTTCTTGTACTTCCTGGCTAGTATGACATTTGACTACCATTGGAATGGAATATTGCTGAGAAAGGCACGGTTAACTGGGACTCTGAAGACTTCACCCTGCAATATTTTATTGCAGGCCTCATTTGTTATGTCCAAGACCTAAATGTGGAACAAAACATGTATCTGTTATCTCTTTAGTTTGTTACTCCATTTTTGGATTAGACTAGAATAAACTTGTAGACAGAGACACCTTCTGATTAAAAGTGGTCAAGAAAAGAAGTCCCAAAATTTGAGAGTTATTTGTCCCACAAAGAAGCAGAAAGCTGTGGTCACAGCAAGTCACAGTCACGGTAAAGAACTAAGTTTAAATCATCCTGGCATTTTTGCTCTTCCAGGCTCTTATCTCAAATGAAATGGTATGAATAATTCAGTCCCATTTCTAAAGCTTGAATTACCTCATACAACGTGGCTGGCTTTGTTAGTTGTTTAAAAAAATATTTCTAATCTGTTTAGCAAATTTTGGGGGTAAAATGTGTTGTTTTCCATTCTGATTCTCTTTAAATGTTTAAGGAGTTTAAACATTAATATGCACCTTGCTCTTTGTGAAAACAATAGATAACATCCATTTGCACTAAGAGAAGCTTTGTAGATGTGTCACACACGAGCTTAGGAAATGTTAAGGAAGATGGGGGTGGGGGGCATTTTGGAAGAAAAGGGGTCAAAGTAAATAAATACCAAATCAATTTAATTTACCAGTTTGTCTTTTTGCCTTTCTCCATGGATGAGAAATCCATTCCTTCCATTGGCCTCTGTGCACTGGATCTTGCAGACACCAACCCTACTAAGGCCACCTCCTTCTTGGGGCAGCCATCCTCCACTGGAGTCATCTCGGGTCATAACCACAGCTTTGACTCGCACAATATAGCTGTCACTGCAACAGACAAAAAACAGGAGGCGAATAAATCACAGAGTACATTTCACAGATTTCAGCATCTAATTATCTAAAGCTGCAGAAAAAATCAGTAGTCTTCTGGGGTTGTAGACCTCAATTAAAAATGTGATTTGCCATCACAGCTAAAAAGTGATACCACAGAAAGATTCCAGGTGTCATTCATGATCAATCCAGTCAAAGACCTAAAACTGCCTCAAGGAAAATCTTCATATATATTGAGAAGGTAGATCTCACTCTGCATGTGAGCAACCTACAATCGGCACCAAAGGAACTCAAATTTAATTCCACACACTAAGTGACACAGATGATTTTTAAAAATAGGGATGGGGGAGGTTGAATAGTTAACGATCTATGGAGTGAGATCAATGTTTATGTTTCATCTTGAAACAAAAAGATTCAATCTGGCCTTATGGGCTCTTGCCGATAAAAGCTGACATTAGAAGAAATGCATTAGACAAAGCTGCCATGTAACTCTGGCTGCATGGAGCTATTGGTACTTGAAACAGGAAGGTCAGAGCTGAAAATATATGGTTATTGGAGATGAGGGAGAGGAATGGTAGGATAGAAGGGCAAGTTGAAGGGTAAGGTGTCCAAGTACAATAAAACAGCATTACTCAGCCTTCCATCCTTCCGAGGTGGGTAAAATGACAACCCAGATTGCTGGGGGCAATATGCTGACTCTGTAAACTGCTTAGAGAGGGCTGTAAAGCACTGTAAAGTGGTATATAAGTCTAAGTGCTATTGCTATTATTCTAGAAACCCTAGGACAGAGAAAAGAGAAGGATCCTTTAATTTTGCTTTTATTTCCTCCTGTTTTGCCAGGTTCTGAATCCCACACAACTTATCACAATCTTACCCAGAGGAATCTTTTGTTACGCTACAAATATTCCAGCCGGAATGAAGTGCTGGCTATTCTCCATTCTCATTTCTTAAAAGATCGAATCATGTATGTATGTATGTATGTATGTATGTATGTATGTATGTATGTATGTATTTATTTATTTATTTATTTATTTATTTATTTTTCATATTTCTATGCCGCCCACTCTCAGAGGACTCTGGGCGGCTTACACCAAAGACAGTATACTAAATAACATATTGCCCCCAACAATCTGGGTCCTCATGTAGCTTATCTAAAGAAGCGCCATCTCTCTTTCTCTTGCTCTTTCCGATTATTTTATGTAAAAGAATATAAACTATTTTCCTTACAGAAAGAAAATATCCAGCAAGATATTCACATAAACTCATTATCAAATCCTTAATGAAAGATTGCATTAGAATAAATGCAACTTGAATTTCACAGACGCAGCTTTCAATCTGGGCTTTCGATCAGTAATAGAAACACTTTGTACTTTGTGGAGATTTGTATGATACAATGTGATTTCAACTACAGCTAATCCTCGATTTACAACAATTTGTTTAGTGACCGTTCAAAGTTACAATGACACTGAAAAAAGTGACTTATGACCAGTTTTCACACTTATGACTGTAGTAGCATCTCCATGGTCACATGGTCAAAATTCAGACACTTGGCAATTGAGTCATATTTATGAGACCAGTCCTAAGGTCATGTGACCCCCTTTTGCGAACTTCTGTCAAGCAAAGTCAGTGGGGAAGCCAGATTCACTTAACAACAGTTTGACTAATTTAACAACTACAGTGATTCACTCAATAAGTTTGGAAAGAAAAGTCATAAAATGGGGCAAACTCACGTAACAAATGTTTCACTTAGCAACAGAAATTTTGGGCTCAATTGTGGTCGTAAGTCAAGGACTACCTGAACTATGTTCTTAAAACTCTCTACAAAGAAATTTTTGAAATGCAATATATCATGAGAAATTAAATAATCTCTCTCTCTCTTTGTATATGTATTCTCATTCTCATTCTCTCTCTCACTCACTCTCTCACACACATACACACTCATTTATTGGTTTTCTACCACAGGCTTGGTGAACAAAAGCAAGTGGAAATAAATCAGTAGTTCTTATTACTCTGTCTGTCCGTCCATCCACCCATTCAGGGTATGTCTGCCCAGTAATAAGAACGCCAGACCAGTACTCTACTGAAAAAATAAACCCTACCAACCTTTTAAGATATTTACTTCCCACATAATAATATCCAAGGACTATAAATAACTCCCATAAGCAATTTCCTGTCCCGGAAGTTCTAAACTCATGCTATTTTGAGGGCAGTGTTTCATCTGTACATCTTATATTAATTGGCTCCTCTAATTCAATTGATGCCTGTGATGGTGGAAGCTTTAGGGAAATGCATATCTCCAAACCAGGGTGGATTTGATTTAAATCAAACTGATTTAAATCACGATTTAAATCACTAGTTAGTAAGGCTTGATTTAAATCATAGTTTTCTACATAAAGACTAATTCTTGCTGGTAGAACTTTAATATGCAAGTAGATGAAGATTTTTAGAATAACAACTTTTCATATTAGTTTTTTTATCCCCAGTTTAATAGGTTAATCATTCATATTTGGACAACTTTTCTGTTGTACTTAGGAAGGAGAAAAATAATCATTACCTTAATAATAACAATTTAAATAGATTTATTCAACTGAAACAATAACATTACAGCATATGTTATTTGCTTAAACAAACATCCATGTTTGTTAACTAATTTGGCTAAACAATATATATATATTTTAAGAAACTTAGACTGTCAGCCCAGCCTACACATGAAAAACTTAAATACTGTCCTCTGTAGCTCACTCGTCATCTTCATCTTCTTCTTTGTTCATAATCTGGAAAAGAAAAACAAGCTTTCCTACTTTATCGGGTCCCAAACGATTTCTCAATTTAGAATGAATGAGTCCAAAGGAAGAGAATATTCTTTCAATGCCTGCAGAAGAAGCTACTGCTGTTAAAAGTGAAATCATTACTTGAACAGTCTCTAAATCCAAGTGCTTAAGTGACTTCCACCAGTTCACTGGTGTGACTTTCTTTAAAATATCTTCAGCAAACATATATTTCTTGAATGGTTCCCTTAGCTTTGAAGTTTATTATAGTTGGCATTACAGATGGATGATTGCTGGATACCCATGTCATAGCCAACTCCTCTTCCTCAGCACTTAAGTTTTGACCATGATACTGGATATTGACAATATTTGCCAAAAAATGAGCTGGAGACAGTACTTGTCCCATTCATTTTTTTAATGCTTGTAATTTAATTCTGTCCATGTGTAGTTCTGTTTTTAAGTGTTCACTCAGTTCCATCCAGATTTCAACAGCATCAGCAATAAAACAGCTATTTTTCTGTATTTTGTTTAAAGCTTCAGAGATGGGTTTCAGGATGCTCAGCATATGTTCAACATTTCTCTTAAGCCCAATGTTGAGGATTTTGGCCGTGACAGTGCCATCTATTTTATCTCGATTTTCTTCACAAACTGTCATCAGAATAGGCCAGTTCTTGATATACTGCTCAAAACAGTCCACCACAGAGTTCCATCTAACATCTTGTGGGAGCGTTAGCTTGGTTCCACCCATCCTTTTCAGAGCTGCTGCAGTAAAATGATTATTATGGAAGTATTTAGCAATTTCAACAACATTAGTCTTTATTTCTGGAACACTTAAGTCTTTGGCTAAGAGGTGCAGCAAATGAGCACTGCAATCATATGTTATTAGCTTTGTATTCTCTTCCTGCTCTTCTAAATTTCTTCTCATCTTCACAGCATTGTCTGTGACCAAACTGCATACTAGACAGTTGAATTTTTGTTCACGTTATTATAGCTTTTACTGCCACTTCTTGTAAGTATTCTGCTGTGTGTGCATTTCCTGACGTATCAATTGTTTGTGCAAGGAAGACTTTCACTTCTTCTGTTGTCATACAAGCATATACAATAGGATCATTGTGGACATTACTCCACCCATCAATACTTAGGTTAACAATTCTACCCTCCAGAGCTATTGCACATTGCTCCATTTCTCTGTCATACACTTTATCCAGCAGTTTCCCTGCAACATCTGCTCTGCTGGGTAGACTGTATCCTGGTCTCAGTGACTGAACCATATTAATGAAATGTGGGTTCTCAGTCAGATGGAAAGAAGAGTTCGTTGCATAAACAAACTGGGCAATTTTTTCATCAATTAACTCTTTTTCTAATCTGCTAGTTTTTATCACAAACTTATCTATGGTGGTTCCAGGAGGGAAGGGGTTTTTTTTTCTTTTAGGTGATAGTGATATGTGGCTGTGGGTGTCTGATGATGATGATGCTAATGAAGCACTATCCTGGATGGATAACTCTGAAACTGTAGAACAGGAGGATGGTGATCTTGAAGGTGGATAGTTTCCAGAATCCATGAATTCCCCTAAACAAAAAAGTCAATGCTGTTATTTTATTGTTTATACAATTTCTGCTTATTGTACACAGCACTGCCCCAAAAGGAATATTTGCTTTTCTTCATAACTGTACCAAATGACAGTAACATGCAGTAATAATAAGAAATGTAACTTTGCTCAAACATGACAGTTCAAGGCAGTCTTTAGAAATATGATTCAATAAAAATGTTTACCAACCTGAAGAACCTGCCTGTTCAAATGTGTTTCTTTGGTCATCTTCATCACAGCACTTCTCATGATGTTGCCTCATTCGGGCCACCAGGCCTTGCATTTCTTTTTTGCAATGTTTGCAGTTTGCACGCATGCCTGCCTTACCGATAGGTAAAGGAACTTCATTAAAATATTGCCAAACTGGGTCTCTTTTATGGCCTGCTGCCATTATAGGTTTTTTTCCTCCAAGGAAAGAATGTGATAAACCTCAGGTCATACACACAAAAAGATCCAAAGACTTGTCTGTCTGTGGCTGTGCAGTATTGTGCTCAGAAAGTTTCACTTTCATTTTGTACTGCTTGTCTGCTTGCCCCTTCCTCCTCACACTTAGTTTCACTTTCTTCTTGTGCAGATCTATTCCACTCCAAACAATCAGAAAAATATTGTTTCTATTCTATTCACTGAACTTCTTGAAACT